AATAGATTTATATATATATATATATATATATATATATATAAATGACAAAAATGCATAACAAAAGTACTACAATTTAAAACTAAAATAAAACATTAATAAGTAAAATTGAAATATTAATAAATACTCTAATAGTTTATAAATAATACCAAAGACTATATATTACCCAAGACGTGTCACTCCTATAGTTTTGAATGGGGAAAAATGCAACGCTCAATATGGCCGCTCTATTGAACGAAACTAAAGTAGGTAACTAAAGTTTACAAATGGAAACTTATTGTGAAGTGTTACCAATTTTGAATTCGATTTTATTTTTATTTATTCGCTTTAATGTATAATATACTTAACTGATAAAACACTTAAAGCACTTAAACCGAAATTAGAAATGTTGCCTTGGCTAATAGCTGAAGTACAATGTTTAAGTTGAAGCTCTAAAATTACTAAAACTAAAAATGAAATACAAATAAATTAAAGCTAAATAGATTTATATATATATATATATGACAAAAATGCATAACAAAAGTACTACAATTTAAAACTAAAATAAAGCATTAAACTGTTAACAAATATGACTTTTATGAATGTATACATGCAGAGATTAACATAAACGTATATAAATTAATGAATTAGAAGTATTTTTCATTGTTAGTTCATGTTAACTAAAGTAGGTAACTAAAGTTTACAAATGGAAACTTATTGTGAAGTGTTACCAATTTTGAATTCGATTTTATTTTTATTTATTCGCTTTTCTGTTCAATTTTAGTTTAATTGTGGGGAAAAATGCAACGCTCAATATGGCCGCTCTATTGAACGAAGCACCGCCTTCTGAGTAAAAGAGCCAATCGCTGATCGGTAAAGTAATCGCATCACTGCAGCTGCTGTTAGAAGCTCCGATTACTATCCACCTTATTTTTCCCATAAGAGCGGTCGCGGCCATGTAAATAGAATGTATCTGGCTTTTGGTGTCTTTCACTTCCAGCTATTTTTAGCTGAACAAAACAGCTTGTTTTGCTACTTGATATTGCAAACTGGTGTGTCTTACCATATTAATTTAATATATTATCTTAATTATGAACACACTGGTTTGTAGTGCAAACAGCTTTACTGTTTACCGCACTTTGTTATTCTTCTCGTTATTTCCCTATACAGCGGCTAATGAACCGGACGTCTCGCACATTCACAGAAAACGGCTTACTTCCATTTGAAAAATACAGTGGATAGAAACAGTCAGCGTTCTGAGACATGCACACTGTCTGGTCCAGCCTGAAAAATAAGCTTTTTTAACGCTATTTGAGCAAAAGAAACAACATTTATGAGACAGTTGTTGTCAGATTTCTTTGGTGATTTCAAATATGAAATTTAATCGTAAGCTTGGCGAACAGTTTTGGAGATTTTGATGTTTCCTCATTCAAAGAGACAGAGGCGTTTCAAAGATGGCTTGCCTTAAAGGGACTTTGATGATACTCTGCTCTCTACAGATGTTTGCTAGTGACCCTGTCTAATCTGGATCATCCAACGAATCATTGGTTATCCAAACAAGTATCATCACTCGGTATGTTTCTTGGTGTTTCTTCCTCCAGAAGCTCCTTGCAGTGTGATTGGACAGCTGCGGGTCAATGTGACGTACTCCTTCCTGTGCCAATCTTGTGGCTCCATGGTGCTTCAAGACAGGTTAGGAGTGTTTCTTTTTTTATTTTCACCGATTTGGTGAAGTAATGCATTGAAGGAGAGTGATACGTTCACTATCAGACGCATTATTTCAGTGTTCAGCTATTATCAGACTATCTCCTAACTCTTAAAGGGCTTTTGGGCGAGTTCTTCCTTTGCCCAATGGAAACTGGAATGCATTAGTGGACGACTGGTGCTGCCACCCAGATCCCTTCGCAAACAAGAAGCTGCTCCCGCGAGATGGAGACTGTCTGCTCGGGGACACGTTTCTTCTGTTGGCTCGGGACAGCAGCTGTGAGCAAACCCTCGTACGGGAAGAGAAATCACTTCAGAAAGCCTCTGCAGAGGTAAGCTGTGGAGTTTAGAGACGCATGATTAAATAGCACTCTCACTAATGCAGCCAAGTGCTAAAAGTCTGATTTCTCTCTACCAAAATGGTGACGCTTCAGAGCTCTGAAGACACATGCAGTTGTGATATACACCCTAAGTAGTGCACAGATCTGACTTACACAGCCTGAGGCAGATGGCTTCCTTTCATCACAATAAAGGCTGAAGAGGCGGGAGGAAATCCACTCTTAAAAACATTACGCTCGGCCGGGCTGTGGAGGAGAAGCGGTCATGTCTTTAAGAGGGATTGAATCACTTTCTCAAGCTCAATCTGTGTGTAGCCTGTGGCCATGCCGAGGAGATAAAAACACGCTTTCCAACGCTTTTTCAATCCTAAATCACTTCAGCACACAGTCGTCTGTTTTCTTATTGATTTCTGTTTGATGGTTCTTTTTTAACGAAATATTCTCAGCATACAGTCGAAGCAGAAGTTTGAAAACAAGTTGAAAAATTGCTTGCAGTTTTTTGTGCAGTGGTGTGAAACACTTTTTTTTAAACAAATACTTAGTGGAAAGAAGTGTTCACTCTCAGGAGGTCAAAACTACATTTGACTTGAGAATGTTTTATTTTCTGTTCATGTTGCATGAGGTTTGCAGTTTTCTAACACTGTTACCAAAATGGCAAGTCACAGGTTTGCAGATTTAGCTTAAAATAAGCTAGGCTAGTTATTTTGTCATCAGAAAAAAACTAAAATAGTTTGCAGTTATTAATAAACGAACCAATGTTATGTTGAATTTGCTCTATCATTCAAAAGTTTAGAGTAAGATTTTTAATGTTTTTGAGGGAAGTCTCTTCTGCTTATCAAGGCTGCATTTATTTTATCAAAAATACAGTAAAAACAGTAACATTGTGAAATATTATTACAATTTCAAATAATTGTTTTCTATGTTAATATAGTGTAAAATGTAATTTATTTCTGTGATGCGCAGCTGTATTTTCAGCATCATTACTCCAGTCTTCAGTGTCACATGATCTTCCGAAATCAGTCTAATATGTTAATTTGCTGCTTAAGAAACATTTCTGATTATTATCAATGTTGAAAACAGTTGCGCCGCTTCCTATTTGTGTGGAAACTGTGATACATTTTATTATTCAGGATTCTTTAATGACTGTAAATTCAAAAGAACTGCATTTATTTGAAATAGAGATGTTTTGTAACATTTAAAAATACTTTCTGTCAATTTTGATCAATTTAATGCATCCTTACTGAATAAAAGTATTAATTTTGTTCAAAATAATAATCCTACTGACCCCCAGTTTTAACAGTAGTTTATATTTCCCGTAAATCAAGGTAAAATATATATATATATATATTTTTATCTTTGTATTTATTTAATTGTTTATATATTTGTTTACCAATTAAAATTTATATAATGTGTAAAAGTAAAAAAAATAAATAAATAAAAATCAAGTGATGACAGAATTTTCATTTTCCAGTAAACTATTCTTCTGAAGGCAATGGAAAGGTTTTTTAAAGCATTCAATAGTACGAAGTACTCGCATGGCTGGAAGTAGCTGCTGTTTTTAGCCGAGTATGTTGTGAATATGGCCGTCGAGTGAAGTGACTGAACCTGTAATGTGAATAACCATATAACCAGTGCCATATAAAGCAGCCTATGACCAAATTTGCCTTTCCCCATAGTATCTGTGTGTGTCTGCAGCAGAAGCATGGCAGCAAGCGTGTGATGGTGTCCTGCAGGAGCTGCTCTGCGGCGCTGGGAGAGGAAGTCACTGCAGCTAAGGAAAGCAAAGCAGTGTAATAACTGTGGCAACACACCACTGGGCCATTTTACATGACTGCAAATGAAGAAAACTAGAGCTTTTATTTATATATAAATCATGATGTCATCCATTACCCACGATGCATGTCGGCCATTCATTGTTTCTATTAGCAACAGCCTGAGACTCTCTAATGCACTTTGAAATGTTTTCAGACAAGTGCTGTGCTTCTGAAGCAAAAATAGTCAGTTTATCTGTTTGCAAAGGTCTATTTTTAGTGATTGTCAGCACTAGTTTTTTTGTGTTTTGCTAATATTTTAAAGGGATAGTTCACCCACAAATGAGCATGCATGTACTCACCCTCATGTTTTTATAAATCTGAATAACTCAAGTCTTCTGTATGGCAGATTTTCCTCTCTGATGAACTTCTCAAATCTCGTTCATAATCAGATGTCATGTTTAATGCCACTTCACAAACTAGAGATTACATGAGTTTCGCCCACATTGGGAATATAAAGGCAGGTTTATTGAGTTTGGCATTGTAGATTAATTGCACATTGATACTTGTGTGTAGACAAAACAGGGGTAAATGTGGAGAGAAGAAGAGTGAATGAAGAGAAAACAGTGTGTTGGCTATTAATAATGGTCTTGAGATCACAAAATATCCGTTTTTATTGTATTTTTATATTTTATGTATACAAACTACAATGTGTTAAAAGAATTGGGGAAGTGAAAGGACAATATGAGTTTTAAGGTAAAAACTAGCCAACATAGTATTTATGGATGGCTTTGTTAGCGTGTCACATTGTGACGGTGTTATTCATAGTTATAGCTTACATTTTAAACAATTTTTCATGCAATGTGCTGAAAATTAAAAAGAATTAAAAGTATCAAAATTAAAAAAAAAAAGAAGTAAACCTAGATCAGATCAAATAATTAAATATACACATACTATAAACAAACCTAGTTTAAAAAATTAAAATATTTAAAACATGTAATAGATCAAATCTAAACATTTATTGTAAGGCCCTTTATGGGGTTCCTACAGCTGTCAAATGTGGGGGAAAATTGGGCTAGATTTCATTCCAATTCGGCGGGTTTTGAGTCGGCTGAAATTTTTCTGAGACCTGGCAACCCTGGTGTGACACATCTTCACCTTTTTTTTATTTTTATGTTACATTTTAACAGACTTGTATTGTGGGATAAAAGTGTTCAGCTAAATGTTACAGAGATATTAAGAAGTGCTTCAAATGATCTTGATTAAACACTGCATGTGTAGCTTACTGAACTGAACCGAATTAAATCCACACGGAATTAAATGACACTATTGTCTTCTGCAGAGCTGCCTTATAGCTAAAATGTAATTTTTTATAATTGATTAATTTACTGCTCTGTTATTTCCTGTTTATTACTGTGACGCTGTTTTGAAAGCATTTGTAGTGTATTTTCCTGTTTCCTGAAACTGCTTTGAAACGGTTCTGTATACAGCGTTGTATGAATGCATGTGACTTGACTTGACAACAGTCAGTTAAACAGAAAGCATTTGTAGTGTATTTTCCTGTTTCCTGAAACTGCTTTGAAACGGTTCTGTATACAGCATTGTATGAATGCATGTGACTTGACTTGACAACAGTCAGTTAAACAGTTTAATAGTTAGTCTGCACTGCAATGCTGCAATTATTTAATCAGAATTAAATATTCCAAATGTGATTAATTACACACCAGTTTGCAAATGCACAAAAAGATGATTTAGCTCTAAACAACAGCTACTAACATATTACTACTATTTCTAATGCATATAGGCATGCTGTTTTCTACACAGTATTCACTTAAGACTCAATTACATTCTGAAAATAGTTTCCAATATTTGGCCTGGAAAACAATTTTTGAACTCAGAATTATATTATAACTTTGTTCTTTATTACAAGAAAGCTCTATGTGTTTCTAAGAAATGTTGAAGGTGCACATATTATCTGAGAGGTAATTTCCTGTAATCTTACACCTCCAGCTGTTAATAATGTGCAATTTTCAGTTTCAATGTCCTTTGTTTTTCAGGGGTGCTGAAGTTTTACATAACTGAAATATTTGTAAAGCCACGTGATGATGGAGAGTGTAACACAGTTCAGTTTAGAGTCCGAGCCTAATGCAGAAAGGTTAGCAAGTTCATTTGATTTATTCATTTTAGTGTCACCTGTAGATGATAATCAGTCTGAGCGAGTTTTTATTATTATTATTTTTTTATCGTGTCTCATACAGGCATTTTCAGTTTCAATGTGCTTTGTTTTTCAGGGGTGCTGAAGTTTTACATAACTGAAATATTAGTAAAGCAACGTGATGATGGAGAGTGTAACACAGTTCAGTTTAGAGTCCGAGCCTAATTCAGAAAGGTTAGCAAGTTAATTTGATTTATTCATTTTAGTGTCACCTGTAGATGATAATCAGTCTGAGCGAGTTTTTATTATTATTATTTTTTTATCGTGTCTCATACAGGCAGCGATTCTTGGAGCAAACTCTAGCGTCCCGGCTGGTCGAGCTGTCATCCGCACAGAGTATATTTCGCTTTTCCATCCAAACACCTGATGACATAGCTGTGATTTTGGTATGAACATAAAACATCATGCACTGTAAAAAAAAAAAAAAAATTTGGAGATGTAAATACAACCTAGATTATTAGAGTATGTTTTACAAGAAAATACTATTTCAGTCTTTCTACATACAAATTTCATATTGATGTTGCATGCCATTTCTTAGTAATTATTTAAATTTACTAGCAATTTTTGAGTGAAAAATTGTTTTCTAGCTTTTTTCAGTAAATCCTTTCTAAATGTTTCAGTGTATATATACAAAAAAGGTTAATTTTGTTCCATGTGCAAAGATTTCTCTCTGAAGTCCACTTACAGTTTATATGTGCACCAATAATGTGATTATTTCCAATAATCAGAGCAAGGACTTAGCAGATGTTTAGCATCCTATTTACATGCAGTTTTCATTATTCTGCCGCTAGTATTCACATACCCCAATGCAAGTGATGTTTTTGATCAATATACTGCATTATATTCAAAAATGTGATGCCTTCTTTGTACTGTGTACCTCACAAATACATGCTCACAGTGGAACAGATGCCATGAAAGTGTTAACATGCCTGTTAAAATCAGCATACGCCTCTTATTTTACTGCAGTTATGGTTGCTATATGAGCTTAATCGCATAAATTTGATCAAAGTATTGTGTTAACGTGAGGTCAATTTTAATCACAATATTGCCTATATCTCATTATGATCACATTATGAGGGTGCATGTAAACATTAGCAAGGTTAATCAGGGTTTCTTGCAACCAAAACATTTTGCAACATCTCTCTGAGCTTTACATACTGGAGTTTCCTTCCTTCTGACTTGACAAAGCCATGTTAAAACATGCTAGCAATGTGCTAAAGTGTGTTAGCAACATGCAAAAAATTCTAACAGTGTGCTAAAACATGCTAGCAGCATGTTAAATTATGTTAGCAACTTACTTAAAGAATTTAGCAATTTGCTAGAACATGTAAATAACATTTTATTGACCTTAAGTAAAATCTTCAAACAAAAGTTATTTCAAACCTTTTTCAAAACAAGGCTTTGTCAAGCCAACATCAAAGTTTGTTCTTGAACTTTACTCATCTAGTTAATTTAACCGTTTCTCTGCCATGACCGCAGTCAGTCTGAAGGAGAAAACTCTGAATCCAGGAGATCTTTTTACTTGTGATGTCCCCTTTAAATCTGGTCTTCAGGTAATTTATTTTCTCTTGTAATTGTCAGCTGTGGCTTCTGAACACGGACTCTCTGGTCGCCTCATTTCCCGACGCAGCAGCGAGGGCCGACAGCTTAATCTCCGCAGACGACAAAGAGCATCAGTCATGCCGGGTCGTTAAAGCAGTCAAAGTGCTCTACATCCTCTGCTCTGACAGAAAACTCAAAGAGTAAGTCATAGTTCACCCTGACATCTGCTCTTATTCCTCATATTAATGTCCATAACTAATCAGATTCCACCTCATCATGTGAATGAAGTGACATATGGGTTTCGATGTCTAATTTAAAAATAGATGCTTCCTCTGTTAATGTCTTTGTAGACCACATTTAAACTTTGGTAAAACAACATTCAACGTCAGCATAAACATCACTAAAGAGTGTTACTTTTAGGCTTAAAACAAGAAAAAAATCTGCTAATGGAAATAATAGATAAGCTATATTCTCTGAAAACAAGTCTTAATACCAATCACAATTCTCATTTGAATTTATCTTGTTGTACAGATGTTACAACATACATATTTTTATTGGGAATCCAAAACACTGATTAGCCCTTTAAAACCAGAAATATGATTTTTATTTTTTTTTAAATATAATAGTTTATTGAACCTTTAGACAAAAAAAACAAAAAAAAAACTTTGCATATGTATTTATTTGTTTTGTGTCATATTTGATACATCAGGCTTTTATGGCTCTTATAGTATGATATAGTGAGAATATGGAGCTCAAACTCGATGAGGAAAAACAGCTCAATTTTATTCGGAGACTCAAACTGAGCAAAAATCTGCAATTCGGTGCAGATGCTGATATTTATATTTATATATTCATAATGTAAATCAATGAGATCTTTATAACAGTAGATCAGATACTTACATAAAATGCTATAAATATCAGTCATCACTCTATATCTCCAATAATGTGTGTTAGTAAGATGAGATTGAAATGATCCAAACATATAATGCAATGCAATCCAGTGATGATTGAGAGATGAACAAATAAACGCTCCTCAAAAGATCCTGATGATCAGATTTGAGACTCTAAAACATGATTGATGGAGAATCAAGTAAAGCTGAGCTGCTTCAGTCCAGTAAGTGTTCATCTGGAAATATTACTACAGTTATTCTGACGTTTGCTTTATAAAAATCAGTTAAGATTTGACAGCAGAAAGACACGTGAAGCACCAGCTGAAGGTTGATGTTTGTACAGTTAGACTAAATTATACTATTTCTTGCTAAAAAAGTATAAACTATCGATCAGACAACAGAAGGCATCATTTAGAGGCCTTAGAAATTTGTTTAAAATATGATACCAACAAACAACCAATCACAAACTAAACAATACTTATTTAACTTTTAACATGCTCTTCTCAGTGTCAGCATCAGAGAGAAACGGTTTCAAATGTCAAATAGCTAAAGTGTTAACTGGATTGATAATGAGACGTAATATTTTTGTAATATGTTCCAGTAACATTTTGGATGCTGTGTTTAGTTTTATTTTGTCATGTTATTACTAAGTAAATTTGCACACACTAATGTTAACGCAAAACAAAAACAGACTGCTTTTTACTCACTGTTTATTTTATTTATTTTTTTAATTAGATTTTTGTAAAGTTGACTGTTTAGTCACTGTCTTGATTTACTGATGTATAAAACAGCTTTTAAGTCAATAAGAAACTTTTCCAATTTGTTTTAGCTACATAAAGCCCTACACAAAATAATTGATTTAAATGTAAACATAAAAATTGCCCTTAAAAAGAGACTCAATTTCAGTCATAACAAAGGTTTAACAAAATGTGCAGTTAGTGCATTTTGCCATTGCAGAACAGAACAGACTGTAAATGCACAAGCTCAGAGAAATGCTTGCATAGCTACTCACACTGATGTGTAATGTTCCCATTATAAGAGCTCGAGGATCCGTGGATCACAGAGGGACTTTGGGTGTGTGTTCTGCCACCAGAAGGTCGTCATGACTCTTTACACCTCTTACCTCTTCTCGCTCGCCTTTTTATCAAGTGTACATTAATTCTGCCCATTTTCCACCCCTGCGCTTGAACGTCTCTCCTCCTTGCTGTATGTAGAGGTGCGGGTATCAAACATGATTCATGGTGCTCAGATGCAGGCCCTGAGCCGTTATGCTAAATAGAGGATAGTCTTACTGGAACCAGACTTTTGACTACCCACATCATGTCTGGTTAACATCGCAGTTTAGTCTGGCCAAAAACTGACTAACTGACTGACTGACATTAAAAGGACTAACTACAATTTAAATGTTATATACAGTGGGTACGGAAAGTATTCAGACCCCCTTCAATTTTTCACTCTGTTATATTGCAGCCTTTTATGTAATGGTCATGGTATATAATCCAGCAATAAATGGTTTTAATAACACTGCCCTGCATCGTTTTTGCTGAATGAATGAAGTTCTGCTCAAGCAAGTCAAAACTTTTTCACAAAATATGATGCATTTCATAGCATTTCTGCTTTTTACAATCATTTGTAAGGTGAAGAAGTCTTGAATTCTCCCTTAATCAGCAAACAAATCTGCCACAAAGACATGATTCCTGTCTTTCTCTGAGCCAGAGTACAACTATTTGTTCAGTTCTCAGCCCGTTTTCACGTGTCTGGATTAGGCATAAAATAATGTCATATTTTATGCCTAATCCTGATTTGAAAGTTAAAATTATGGTCAGTGACAGAAGAACATGCAAAAATGAGCCAGATGTTTTCTGCTACATCTGTGGGTATTTTACAACATCCAGACATGACAGAAAATTACACGTTTAGCTTCTTTTAATACGTTTTGAATACGTCTTTTTATCATTTATCTGTTTTTATTTTGATAAGTACATTAAAGCTGATACATGTACTGCAATTTGAAAAACTCTTCATTCTTATTTTGTGAAAAAAACTGTACATGATGGAAAGTTTTTATTGATATTTTTTTTTGTACTCCGCATCATCAAATGAGATAATATTAGGCCTTTTTTGCAAATCAGCAGATTTTCTTTTTTTTTTTCAGGATGCAGGGCTGTGAAATCAGTAAATGAAGTATGTAACTCTTTAGTTTAGGGACCAATTCTCACTGTTAACTAGTTGTTTATTAGCATGCATACTACTAGCATATTGTCTGTTTATTAGTACTTGTAAAGCACATATTAATGCCTTTATTCTGCATGATGACCATATTTTAGATCCCTTAATCCAATTTAACCACTACCTTCCTAACTAAGCAGCGAATTAGGAGTTTATTGAGGCAAAAGTCATTGTTAATAGTTACTTAATAGTGAGCATTGGTCCCCAAACTAAAGTGGGACCTACAGAGCATGTGAGCACATTGAGTTGAATTCTGTATTTATAAAGCAAGTTGCAACATTGGACAGCAACCACAAACGACCTTCAGTCACATCATCTCTGTTCAGGACATCAGCAGTACATCACAACACAACAAACACTAAAAGACCCCCATTATGATCAGCAGAGCTGTTTACACTCATCTGTGACACAGCTTGGAGGTTATGTTCAAGTTTTCTGATTGGTGCCAGATCTTTAAAACTAATTGGTGTTGGAAATAAACGATATAACGTCAGATGCAAATCTAAGCAAAGAGGAATCTCTGGTTAACAAACATTGCACAGTTTCCACTGGCCATGCTCATTGTATTAGCTTGGGAACTTTTGAAGTCGGCATTAAATGAAAATTCATTGCATACTATGGATGCTATTGTGAGCATATGTTCATTTTGTTCCCCCTATGAAACTACAGACTTCTCTCTAGTGACGCTTGCAGGACTTCTCTAATCATATAGTGCACTTAAACCCCGCCCCGTTCTTCAAATTGACCCTTCGCCCTGAATTTCAGAAATACCGTAAAACCAGCCAATCAGATTAGAGCTTGCTGTTTTAAGAACGCTCTCCTTTTTAGTGTGCAACATGCATCAGAATGTTTGTAAACACTATGTGTGTTCAATTTCTACTGAAAATTTCTACTTTAAAGCACTGTAGAGCATGTCAAACAAGACTTGAAATAGCACTGATGAGTAAGAGTGGAGAAAAAAAATGTGCCATTAGAATTACTGTAACTCTGGCATTTTAACAGATATTTTAATGATTTGTTAAAGGGACAGTTCATCCAAAAATTAAAATTCTGTCATCAGTTAGGTAGCAAGCATGTTTGAGCTTCTGTTTACATTATTTTATAAGCTCTATGTCTGATCAGTTTTGATCAGTGTTTATATGTGAATGAAATACTATAGTTTGTTTTATAAAACCAGAGCATCTAAGATCTGAGCCTGGAATGCTGTGAATTATCATCCAAGCTATCTGTTTGTCCTTTGGTGTCAAATTGCTGAAATTAGCTGAAAATGTACCCACCCTCAGGTCATCCAAGATGTAGATGAGTTTGTTTCTTCATGGGAAGAAACAAAAATGTAGCATTAATCACTTGCTCAGCAATGGATGCTCTGCAGTGAATGGGTGCCGTCAGAATGAGAGCCCAAACAGCTGATAAAAACATCACAATAATCCACACCACTCCAGTCCATCAGTTAATGTCTTGTGAAGCCAAAAGCTGTTTGTTTGTAAGAAACAAATCCATCATCAAGACGTTTTAACTTTTAACTGTCGCTTCTGGTCAAAATAATTTATAATAACGCTTCCTCCAGTGAAAAAGTCCATCTCCTGTTGTCTAGGAGAGAAATCTGCACAGATCAAGCACCTTCTATTTAGCCGGAAGCAACAGTTTGACGTTAAAAATACCTTAATGATGGATTTGTTTCTTACAAACACGCAGCTTGTGTCTTCAAAAGACATTAACTGATGGACTGGAGTGGTGTGGATTACTTGTGGATTATTGTGATGTTTTTATCAGCTGTTTGGACTCTCATTCTGACGGCACCCATTCACTGCAGAGCATCCATTGCTGAGCAAGTGATGCAATGCTACATTTCTCCAAATCTGATGAAGAAACAAACTCAACTACATCTTGAGGGTGAGCACATTTCAGCAAATTTTCATTTCTGGGTGAACTATTTCTTTAAGAGATGACTTAAATCATTAAGATCCTGTTCAGGAGCAACATTTTCATTCAAAGCACAGTCCTAGCTCAGACTTCCCATTGCACTTTGAAGTAGAAACTTGTGTCTGATATCAAATGTAATCAAGAAAATTAATTACTGTCATGTAATCAATCAACTACCACTGAAGAGTGTTTGACTGAGGAAAACCCTGGTTGTAGTAGTGCACGATGCTTCTCTTTCTGGGCTTCTCCAGCATTTCCGCTTTAAAAGCTGCATGTGCGCTTTCTGTGGAACTACAGCACAGATGGGTAAATGTCAGTGAATGTCCTGAATAGATCATCACCATAATGTGTGTCAGGACATAAGTCTCTCTGCCTCTCCTCTCGCTCGGCTGTCTTCAGTGCTGTGTGTTGACAGATTTCTGTGACATGATTAAAACACTAATGTTTCAAACTGTCAGTTTAATATAATTTAAGGTCCAGCTGCTTCTGCGGGTGCAGAGTTATTGCACAGAGGTAGTAACGTTTCCGTTTTCACCTTCAGTCAGTGTTCCTGATCATTTTTGTTCTAGCTCAGCAAAACCTAAATGTATTAGTCAGAAGCTTCAGCTACCTGAGCAGGAACACTCAGTTCACTGTGCCAGTTTGACAAGCAAAAATGTTTACTTTTAATTTAATACAGAACAATTCATTCCTCTATCAAGTAACATTTATTTCTACAGTACTTTATCCAATACAGATTGTTTCAAAGCAGCACAGTAATACTTATAATTATACATTTGCAGTAATAAACAGGGAAATAATGTTAATGTTGTAAAATTAAAACAATTTTAATAGTTTTTGTCTTATTGTTTTTATTTTGTTGTGTGTGGTTTTAGTTGTTGTAAAGCACATTGGTCAACGTGGGTTGTTTTTAATTGTGCTATATAAATAAATTGTCATTGTCATAAAATTCGTAATTTATGAAAAACCCAGCTGTAAAGCAGCACTACAAAAGACAAGAAGTGTCATTATAAAGCTCAAGTCAGTTCAAATTTGTAATTGTCAAAACTTTATAAAGCAGCTCTACAGAAGATAAAGAAGTGTCATTATTCAGCTCAGTTTAGTTATATTAAGCTCAATATTAGGCTATAACATTTTGATTTAATTTATACAGTAAGCTCAATTATATTTATTTAATTGTGCATTTATTTTTATAATTTTTTTTTAATAATTAGCTGTAGAAAGGATAGCCCTTATATATTGTGCAAATGTGTAAAAGTGTAAATTATTAACAAAATTAAAATAAAAAAATAGCCCAATTAATCATGCCTCCTGACCTGTACAGGCGTTCCATTCAAAACTACTTATAACAACATCTTAATTTTTGCATGTTGAAAATGGCATGGCTTAATAAACATAATATTGTTTATACATTATATTAGTGTTTTTATACTTTAGTTTAATTTTATTTATAAAATACAAATACATTTTCCATTGGGGGTTGAAAGTCTGAATGTACATGTGGATTTATCTTTTCATTTAAAATACATTTTTTTGAAGCTTAAATAAAATCACCAGAGGTAAAAAGCTAAATAAAAAGCTGAAAAAATAGAAATAAATTATGCAGTGGGGCGTAAAAGTCTGAAACTACTTTAAAAATGTGGATTTTTCTTTTCATTTAAACCGGAGACCAGACAACAGGTAAAATCATGACATAAAATATTTTAGATCACTAATCAAATGTAAGTGAATTGGTGATATTTCTCTTTTTACTGTTCTGCTGATAATATGAGTAATACAATGTTAAACTAGAAAAGAATGCAGAATAGAAGCATTTTCAATAGTGGTCTACCAGTGAAATCCACTATGTTTATTTACTAATAATCAGTGTACATGGATTTGAGAAATGTTGTCTTCATTTCTGTCTCCCCCTCACTCATCTTGTGTTTTTCCTCCTCTCTTTCTAGTGTTGTGGATGTTTGGGAGAAGGACATTAGTGTTCATCCTTTGCTGCTCCCTCAGAGCTCATGTGAGGAGCTCCAGAAGCTTCTGATGTCCAGCACCTCTAGACTGCCTGCATTCCTGCGCTGCATGAACTCATATCAGGTCACATACCGCTCTCACCACACGCATGACTGCTTGATCATTATACTTCATTATTTTGTAGTCTTTATTTATATTGCATTTCTTCGTTTAGCAGATGCTTTTGTCCAAAATGACTACAACACTGAGAAATACAATACAAAATCCCAAAATTGTCTAAAAAAGTACAGACTTGGTTAGAATTGTACTGTAGGTGTGAGTATAATAGAGTGCTGTAGTGATGATATACTTTGGTAGGCCAACCCACCCTGGTTCCCTTGATGAAAACCTGATAGGATTTTTCCATTGGCTTTTGTATTATTGCAGAAAATAAGCTCTGGGTTCAACAAAAGTGTTTAAAATTCTTACACATTTTGTTATCATTATAATCTTTACTAATGAACTCAACCAACAAGGCTATAAAAGCGACTGGTTGGTGAAATGACATTTAATGTCCCAACAACCTCTGTAGTCCTATTTAGACACTTGTTAGCAACCACCTTTATCAAGACAAAGCTTGATAAAACAATCACTAGGGGGTTTTATGTTGAAGAATAAAACGTTAAAACATCTTGACCTTGTGTGAACCACATCTTATTTCAGGCATTTAAAAAAAGAGTGCTAAAATGCAACTGGGCTTTGGCCTACAAAAATACATCATCCCTGCAGCACTCTTTCTACCTTATTTTTAACGTAAGAGTGACCACAGCAATGTATAACTTGAATGGAACACTGGAAGCTTCACAGGGTTATTTTAGCAGTACAAAAACAGTCCGGGATGCTGCTTGATGTTCCAAACTGGTATGAAGTGAGTGACGTGACATGTGGCCAAGTATGGTGACCCATACTCGGAATTAGTGCTCTGCATTTAATCCATCAAAGTGCACACACAAAGTAGTGAACACACACACCAGCGCTCGGGGAGCAGTTGGAGGTTCGGTGCCTTGCTCAAGGGCACCTCAGTCGTGGTATTGAAGGTGGAAGAGAGCGCTGTACATTCACTCCCCCCACCTACAATCCCTGCCGGTATGAGGCTCAAACCCACAACCTTTGGGTTATGAGTCCGACTCTCTAACCATTAGGCCACGACTTCCCGTATGTATGGAAGCCCGTTTTTATCATGGAATAAACAAATTTTTAAAAGTAATTGTAACTTTTTTTCTCACAATTTCACAATTCAGATTTTTTATCTCCAAATTCTGATTTTGCCATCTTGCAATGTTGTTGTTTTTTTCCACTACAGAATAAAAAATTAAAAAGTTAATAGCGATTATTTCTCTCTCAATTCTGGCTTTTTTTCTTGCAATTCCAAGACAAAAAAGTCTGAATTTTGAGATTGTGAGGAAAAAGTCACAATTACTTTATTTTTTTATCGCTATCATAAATTTTAAACGAGCAAAACAATTTACTGCACTTTGTTATTCTTCTAGTTATTTACCTATTGCGGCTAATGAATCCGAAGTCTCACACATTCACAGAAAATAGCTTACTTCCAAGTTGAAAAATGAGGTGGAAACACAGTTTCGTCATCTTGCATGTTTGTCGGTAAATTATTTAAGTGAAAAGGACCAAATCTTGTTAATAATTTTTTTTTTTTTTTGGCTAACTGGCAATACAAAAAGCCCTGAGATCCATTCAGTCACTGTGTGCTCGTTAGGCCTCAAAAAGAAGCACAGCTGTGTGTCGTTGGCATAGCAGTGGTGGGCAGTTCTATGTTCCTGGATGTCCCATCGATGTAGTGTATATTTATAAAGAAAAAGGGGCCAAATACCGAGCCCTGAGGTACCCCAGTGGTTAGTTGATGTGATTAGACACCTCTTCCTACCAAAATATTCTGAATTATCTGGCTATGAGGTAGGATTTCAACAAGTCAAGTGCTGTTCCCATAATGGCCAATGCAGCATAAGGATGTATGATAGCAATACGCTTCTTACTACCTTTTATATGTGACTTTTGATTTTTTTTTATCTGAAAATTTTGTTACCCATCACCCCATCTGATAGCATTTTAATTGCCCATCTTCAGCTAAGCTGACATTAGTGCCTCTCGTCTGCATTGATTAAGCTGAAATGTCTTTGAGTGGAAAAGAAGAATTCTTTTCTATAGCCTAATACATAAAACAAAATATAACATCTCTTTGAAGCAGATGTGCATTGGTATCAGGCAGATAGCCTGGTTGAAATGCTTGCCTCAGTTTCTGTTGTTTCTCCAGTATATATGCTCCCAATTAAGGAAGCAAAACATCTGTTTCTTGGCAGTCTTTTTCCCCACCTCACTGTGAAGAGTTTCAGGGCTTGACTCAATGCTGATGCTGATGTGCAGCTTTTTCCTTTTCAAAAGAGTCTAGATTTCCATTTCCATTCTTACTGAGAGAAAAATAAGCCAGTAAAGAGGAACATTTTACAAGAGGTGTGCAGGAATTCCTTGGAAAAGGGGAGTTTTGTAGGGTCTGTAACACTTGAGATGTGAGGGAAAGAGTCTGCTAACAATTTTAAATAATTAATAATTATGTGGTGCATGTGGAGTTTTGTAATTTTTATGTTTATTTATATATATATATATATATATATATATACAGTATATA